AAAAGAAAGAAGCAATTAAACATTGTTCTTTTCGTGCCTCTGTTTCTCGTCGCCAGAGAGATTGGAGACGACGACGACATGGCTACGCTGGTAGTGTCTCGTGATGATATTGAGAGGCTCATGAGGGAGTCGCCGAGTCCAGATGCTTCACTTATCGATTTTTGCCATCACCTACGCTTACATGTAAAGTTGCTCCGTGAAGGCGCGTGGAGGAATCAGAGAGATCCGTGACTTTTCTTTTCGTCGAAGTTTTCAGAAAGCGGTTGGGATTTGCCGCTTCCGATGACATAGTTGCATGTTTCCGGCGGGTAGCTACGGTCAAGACGTCGGAGCTTGTCGAAGAGAAAGGATTTGTAACATTGATTGATTTCAGGAAAGGTAGAGACGTTTGCAAAGGAGTTTGCATATAGTGTCGATTGCATCGAAAGGTAGAGACGTTTGCAAAGGATTGATTTCAGGAAAGGTAGAGGTGTTTGCAAAGGAGCTTGCATATAGTGTCGATTGCATCGACGAGTGCACACAACAAAGAGCTTATTTGGAAAGAGTCTTTACACTTCAAGAACAAGTAATCTCAAAAATGCTCACTCTCCTTCACAATTTAAGACACTTGGAAGGTAAACAATATTATTCAAAGTTGTAATAATAAGTGAGTATTAGCTAATAGTATTCAGTCACATAACTGAGTGAGCTTGATCTTGTAACACTTGCTGGAAAAGTAGTATGCGGTAAGAGCGAGTGACTAATCTTGAAAGAGGAAAATTTAAAGACATCACAAGCGTACCTGTAGTTTTTTTCTTTTGGAAGTTATAGTAGTTTTAGTGACATGCTTTCTTGTACGTATTAGACTAACATTGGCTTATTTTCTTCTTCTACTACACTTTAGTGTTGTTTACTCTTTAGTTTCAACATGTTTATGTCATTAGAAGTTTTGTATATTGTAACTAATTTCAAAAAAATTCTGGTAACATAAGAATTTTTACCTATTTCAACAGCCAATTGGTTACATTACCGTATAGCTTGATGTTCCATTGACAACCACACATTTTTCATGTTTGTACTATATACTTATCATAAAGCCGTGACTTGAAGGGACAATGCCATCAAACTCGTATTCTTCTTTAACAGCCTGAAATAACTCAACATATGTCATTCCATCCACTAGAACAAGTAATTTGCTCTCTTTGGTTTGGTCATTTTTGAAGTGCCATTGATTCTTGAACACTCAATCACCCAAAACTGTATATGCATATGACATATTCCTGTATAATTCAAGTGAATACGAGTTAGGAGAAACAAGCGCATGTAGAGTAAATAATTCACTTTTGAAGACCAACGATATTAAGAAAGCTATAGAAACTATTAAAACAAGCGCATGTGACATATTCCTGTAGAGTAAATAACACGAGTTATAATTCACTTTTGTAGACCAACGATTCACTAGCCTATGTAAGCTGCTACTAAAAATTTACCAACGTAGACATGATGATAGTGAATTACTCTTTTATTAACACTAGCATTAATAATTTGGATTTTTCTAATACAATTAAAATGTACCTTAAGTTATTAAACCATTCACATTCGTCATCTTTTGTGGATATCTTTAAATAAACAAATATTAAAAACACACTCTCTCTTCCTTTTACTCAATTTTATACCTTCTATTTCATTATTTTACTTAATTTTTATTAATTTTATATTTGAACACACTCATATTCTCTCTCCAAAAGTCTCTATTTATGTCTTCCTAAAGACACAATCTCTCCAACAATATTCACTATCTCCTCTTTTTACTCAAATTTTATTATTTTATATTTCAATACACCCTATTATTTTAACCAAAAATACTCTCTTTCTTCATTTTACTCAAATTTTAATAATTTTATATTTAAAGACATCCACAAAAGATCACCAATGCGGATGCTCTTAGTGTTCAATTCGTCTTCCATGTTATTATCAAAAGCTGCAGTTCAATCTGAAATTTTTTGAAAATCATTACAATCAGCATATCGTCCTTTTTCCGTAAACATTTGGGTTACACAGACCAAAATCTACTTGTAGGAATCAAAACTTAAGCAACTGGAAAACGTGGAAATGGATGTAAAAATCAGGTTCACGAGTCAATACATCTTAGCACATGTGTACTGAATTATAAAAAGCTAACACAAACTCTCAAAAATCAATAAGAAAATCAACTTACAGCAATGCTTAGACGATGGGTTAGTGCTGCGTTGACAGAATATTGGAATTCAAGGGATCGACATTAAGAAAATATTGCTAAGTTACGGAGATGATTTGTTTCCTGATCACGACGAGTTAATG